CGAACGGGACCGTCCACGTTTTCAGTGCCTACGATAGCCGCGGGGACGGCATCGACTTGGTGGCTTTTTCACCTTCATGACAGCACTCTTAGGGCCATGTGTGTGTCGACATCGACAATTCTCCCTCATTCTGGTTCACCTGCAGCATCGAGAGATTCAAGTCACACGACTGAATTGTCCGAGAAGAGATTGCCCACCATCGTTTGTGTGCCTGCTACCTGGTATTGCTATTTCAGTGCATTCCTAAGGCGAGCGCGAACTCTCACTCTACTTGTCACGGCCGTCCGGCGCAGTTGAGTCTGTCGTCACATTTGGCTCCAACTTGGGCGCGACAAGGACATGTCAAGTACTACCAGAGGGCACAGAGATGGGTATGCTGTCCTGGTCTGTGTTTATTCGGTGGGTTTGGGGAGTAAGGGGATGAGTGGGGGAGTAGAATGTGCGATTGGAGGCTTGGGTCGGTGGGTATGCGCAGAGTGCTGCATCGTCACGAAGACTTTCATCTAGCAGACCTCCGGCGTACGTTCGACGGCGAGATACCATTCGGGCATATCAACACTCAGCGAAATTCAAACAATTATACCAGAAAGCTCGCCATTCTCCCGAGAAAGTGACCACAGCCCTTCACCTGACATGGCTTTCCAACGTGGTCCTCTTGAGTTCCTCCAGCTGGTCCTCCAATGCGTGAACTTGGTCTTCCAGCTTTGCAGTGGCGGCCACATCGGCGGGGGTCAAATGGAACGAGTACCGACTGGGTGGCTTCATCACCGTCATTTCAACACGCACGTGGTCATGCGGCTCGTCCTTCAAATCGACAGTCACGTCGCTCTCGTTCTGGTCCGGCTTTGTGCAGGACGCAAGCAGAGCCGCCTGTCGAGTGGGGAAAGTGACGGGGGGGGGACGTGTGCAAGACGGACCTTAAGCATCGAGACAACTTGGTGAAGAGGCACGGCATGATTCAACTCCTTCCCTTTGATGGTGCTTTCGTCGCTGAAAACACCCACCCTGAGCATGCCACGTCAGAGCAAACTACCGTCGCTGGTGCGTGTACCATTCCGTTTTCCGATGCTTGTTTTCAAGCCAGAGTTTGAACGGGACGTCGCCGTCCGCCGTGTCCAAGCGTACCCGGTACGTGTCACGCCGTGAAGGGAAATGAACGTACTCGACTTCCAGCAGCTGATTCATCGTCCAGGGACTCAAAAACGTGTGTGCTGCTACATGCACGAGCTGGAGGGGGCCAACTTGACCGTTGGCGAAGGCGAGGGGGTTGGACAAAACCACGAACGAAGGGTTGTGCAGACCATCTATGCTTCTGCATCGTTGCCGTGACGCCACGCTGCGCTCGTTCGACTCGCAAGGTAACATGTTGAGACCCTCCCCTCTCCTCAAGGCTCTATAGCGGAAAGCGATGACGAATGCGGACGTAAGGCCACCACCATGCATGTGATGCCGACCGTCTTGGTAAGATATTGTCGACTAGTCCGACGTTGTGTCGATCCCGTGGCGTAGAGATACCATCGACGGCGGCATTCCGGACGCCATACCCAAGCTGGGCTACAACACAAGGGAAAACAGTTTGGTCATATCCGTTGGATTCACGATCACAAGGAAGCTCAATCATGGACGAGAGGCAGCATTTGGGCCAGGACAACAGTGGGGCGGCCGCTGTCCAGTCCAACGATGGCAGCGGGGATCGTGGTGGCGCGCAGATCCATGGCCCATATCAACGTGTTTGGGTCCGGCGTGGCGATCAACTTGCGGGCGTACGCTCCATACTGCAAG